TGTTTGTTTTCATTAGCTATAGTTCAAATTCAAAGACGTATAAACTTTACAATTTGGAGACAAAGAAGGTGATTATTAGCAAAGATGTGATATTTAACGAGAAAGGTATGTGGGATTGGTTTCCAAAGTCCCAAAAGGAAAAGATGGTAATCCTTAACAATTATGAAGATATCGAAAGGCAACTAGATCCAGTTGTTGATAAACCAAAATCTTCTAACAAGCTTAGGAGGCATCGACAAACACAAACTAGATTGGAGGATTGTATTGTGGGTAATGATAATGTCCATTTGATGAGGAGATTATCAATTTTGCTTCATTGGTAGATTGTGAGCCAATCACTCTTGAAGAAGCCTCAAGTGATGAGAAATAAAGAAAAGTAATGGATAATGAAATTTATGTCATCAAGAAGAATTATGTAACAACCCAATTTTTCGCTGGGCCAAGGGCCCAATTCGTTGCCCGGAACGGGCCGTTTCAAAAGTGAAACGGGCCGTTCCGGAATAAGGAAATGCTTAGAAAATGAAGTGGGAGAACGGGCCGTTCCAATTGGAGAACGGGCCGTTCTGGATTGGAGAACGGGCCGTTCTGGATTGGAGAACGGGTCATTCTGGTTTGGCGAACGGGCCGTTCTGGAGGGAGAACGGGCCGTTCTGCTGAGTTTGAGAACGGGCCGTTCCGGTTTTAGAACGGGCCGTTCCAGTTGAGAAATTTGCGTAAGTTTGAAGGGTCCAGAACGGGCGTTCCAATTTTGGAACGAGCCGTTCCGGTAGGTGAGCCTGAACTATAACACTATTAGCAAGAAAAAAGGGGAGATACAGATTATTTACTCAAAGCTTATTTTTGTCGTATGAACGGAAACTGCTTGTTTTTGTCGTATGAACGTAGACTGAAATGATAGAAAAATTATAAAGAAGGAAGGACCGAAGGAGTAGGAGGCGGAGAGATTTACACAACGCGCGGGAGAAGGAATTTTTGAAATCGCTAGTGTAAAGCTTGTTTTAAAGGGGAGATGCAGATTTTTTACGTCTGACCTGGTAGGGTCCGACGTAAAATGTCATATCTACGTCAGACACAACATACCTCTGACGTAGATTTGACTGACCTGGTAGGGCCCGCCGTAAAATGTCATATCTACGTCAGACACAACATACCTCTGACGTAGATTTGACTTTTTACGTCAGACCCTACCAGGTCCGACGTAAAAAAGTTCGCAAAAATTACAAAAATGCCACCGCGATTTTTTTACGTCAGATTTTCGTATTTCTGACATAAAAGAGGTGACGTAATATGCTTATTTTATACTAGTGGACCTTATTACCTACGGATTTTTTTCCGTAGGTAATCCGTAGTTAATTAACAGTTACCTACGAATTTTCATGCTTATCTTTTCTCTTGCAATCTCTTTTCTCTCATTTTATTTGATTCTCACAAACCTCTCTAGGAGATGATGGTTTGAGAACAATTTTCTGATCATTCTGCTTGATAGAAATTTTGTTGGTGAATCCATCATGTATTGCTTTGGTGTTATATTGCCATGGTCTTCCTAAAAGGATATGACTTGCCTCCATTGGAACCACATCACATAGCACCCTATCATTGTACCTTCCAATTGATGAGAAACACACTTCCACCTATTGGCTCACCATTATCTCTCCATCTTCACTAAGCCATTGAAGTTTATATGGCCTAGGATGTTGATGGTCCATCAAATGTGGGTTAGTCTTCAAATTTAATTTGGACACCAATCTGGAACTGGCCACATTTTTACAACTTCCACCATCCACTATCAAAGAACACAATTTACCATTGATGGAACACTTGGTGTGAGAAATGTTTTCTCTTTGTTTTGCTCCAATGGTTGCATTTGACTTCCTAGCAGCCTCCTAACCATCAATATATCACCTTGTAGTGGCTCTTCTTCTATTTCCTCATTCTCTTCTTCTTCACTCGCCAAGGATTCACTTATAATGTCCTCATCATCCTTTATGATCATTGTTCTCCTAGTTGGACATTTAGATGCAATGTGCCTTCTACCTAAGCATTTGAAGCACTTGATGTTTCTGGTCCCTATGTTTGAAGCTGTTGTATTAGGTTTTTTTGGTGATTTTCCATGGACGTAAAATGTCATATCTACGTCAGACACAACATACCTCTGACGTAGATTTGACTTTTTACGTCAGACCCTACCAGGTCCGACGTAAAAAAGTTCGCAAAAATTACAAAAATGCCACCGCGATTTTTTTACGTCAGATTTTCGTATTTCTGACATAAAAGAGGTGACGTAATATGCTTATTTTATACTAGTGGACCTTATTACCTACGGATTTTTTTCCGTAGGTAATCCGTAGTTAATTAACAGTTACCTACGAATTTTCATGCTTATCTTTTCTCGTGTTGGGATAGTAAGGGTATCACAAATTACATGTGGGAGTTAACTGATTTTCCAACAGATAAAAGACCCATTGGAGTGAAGTGGGTTACAAGACCAAGTACAATTCCAATTGAGAAGTTGATCACTTTAGAGTGAGGTTGGTGGTTGAAGGGTACAAGCAAAAACTAGGTATTAATTACTTTAAAGTATTTACGCCTATTTCAAGTTTGGATACAATTAATATGATTATTTCTCTTCTTGTTCAAAATAATTAGAAGATATATCAAATGGATGTTAAATTTGCATTTCTGAATGATATTTCAAAAGAAGTATATGTTGAGCAACCTATTGAATATATATTCAAAGGAGAAAAAGATAAAGTATATAAATAGAAGAAAGTTTTGTATGGATTGAAGTAGGCACCAAGACCATGGTAAAAGAAAATTGATTCTTACTTTGTGTAACATGGTTTTGAGAGATGTCCTTTGGAGCACACTTTATATGTTAAATTTGTTGGTCCTAGAGATGTTATTGTGTGTCTATATCTTGATGATCTAATTTTCACTAGAAATAATTTAAAGATGATTGTAGAATTTAGGGAGGCTATGATAAGTTGTTTTGAGGTGACAAATTTTGGGCTAATGTCTTATTTTCTTGTTATTGAGGTCATTCAACAAGAAGATGGAATTTTTATCTCCTAATAGAAATATACAAGTGATATTTTGAAGAAATTCAAGATGGAGAATTCAAAGCCAATTTACACGTCATTTGAAGAAAAGTTAAAGTTGACAAAAGAACGTGAAGATGGAAAGGTGGATTCAACCCAATACAAAAGTCTGATTGAAAATCTAAGATATTTGATTGCAACTAGACCATATATAGTATTTGGAGTTAGGTTGTTTAGTAGATTTATGGAGGAGCCACGTGTTTGTCATTTTCAAGGAGCAATTATTCGTGTATTAAAGGTATTCTGACCAATGAAATTTATTACGTTAGTAATAATGATTTGAAGTTTGTTAGATACACAAATAGTGATTGAGAAAGAGATATAGAAATAAGAAAAAGTACATCAAGGCACGTATTTCATCTTGGCATTGTTGCAATATCATGGTCTTTAAATAAGCAATCAATTGTTGCACTTTCTATTGCTGAAGTTGAATACATTGTAGCAACTAATTGTACTACACAAATAGTATGGTTAAGAAAAATTTTAGAAGTGATGTACCATAAATAAAGTACTCCCACAAAAATATTTTATGACAACAAATTTGCAATTGCATTAAGCAAAAACCCAATTTTTTTTACGGGTAATCCAAATACATAAATATTAGATTTCACAAGATATGAGAATTGATAACTGATAAAAACAATAGAGATTAATTATTATCCAACTAAAGAGAAAATTGTAAATATTTTTACAAAATCGTTAAAGATCAAGCTGTTTTACATGTTGAAGAAAATGTTTGAAATGATAAAAGCTTGATTTAAGGAAGACAATGTTAGAAAAATATTAAATCAAGTTGCTTTATTGCATGCCAAGACCGCCTCTAAAGTAATATTAATTAGCTATTTGAGTTTCAATTAGTTTCCAACTCATTGTCATAGCAACATTAAGTTTTTTTTTATTAATATTTTATTATCTTCTGATTGCCTATAAAGGGCAACTTATGTACTTCAAGGGAAATTGATCAAGTTAATGAATCAATTTGAGTACGTTTTAAAAACTCTTCCTACCTCTCTCTCATTAAGTCTTCCGCTGTGAGTGCGGTTTGTTATCCCATTGATAACATTAAGTTTACTACTTTAACGATTTGGTATGTTTTCTAAACCCCAACAACACAATATATGCTTCCAATGTTTATATTTTTAGAAGAATAACTCTAAAACTAAAAGTTCCCAATACCATTCAGAAAAAAAAAAAAAAAAAAAAAGTCCCCAATGTTTATGGAGATGAATGAGTATCAATAGAGAAGATAAAACATACAATGTTGTTGACTACTTTGAAACCACATTAGCTAGAGACTTGGAATATATTCATTGTTCACATTGAATGTCTTAAGGCCATAGTAGTATCATTATTAAAGCAGAACCTTTGAATTCTGGAGAACCCATTGTCCATCATTAAATATCTTTAGTATTTACTTTAAAATTTTGATTGTGGTTAGTTTTTTGGAACATTGCAATCACATTCATCTAGAAGTGTATAATTGCATCATCCAACAAAAGTCGTTAATAAGACAGACAATCATTAAACAACATTTGAAAAAAGAGAGGAACTTAACCCTATGTCCCTAACTATCCTCTTCCCCATTCTAAGACTAAGAATTAAAAAATATATAGGTTTATAAATATCATGGGGGAAGATGATTTCTTCTAGCCAGATTTTCAGCAGCTTACCAACCGTGCAAAGTAAGAGGTTTACTTCAATTGTAATTTGGATTGAACGTACATCTGAGGCTTCTCAACTATAAAATAAACATGCTGGAAGAAGAAACTGGATGAAAAGTATAATTTACATTACGTGGTTGATCAATCATCACAAAAATACTGAGATACCACCTTTCCCTTTGCAAATTTTCAACCTTCAATTAGTGGAAGTAGGGCTAGGGAAAAAAAAAAAAAAAGAATATCAGAAAAATACAAAATATACAAAATTTTACTGTAATTGCTTCAGCTGTTATTTTCAACTAATACAACGTATTTTGTAAAACATGTAGAATACGAGGTGCCTATGTATATCTGGAAATTGCAGCACTGCACATTTCAACTGCTACAAGGTATTTTGTAATACATATAGAAAAGAAAGATTTTGGCAACCGGACTAACAGGAGCATTCTCATTCCTTATTTAGTCCAGAGTAGTGTGAAAATTATATAATTCGGCAATCTTTAGATCCTATATAATTTATATTTCTGGATTTGGTTTCTCTGAAGTGAATCCTTACTTTAGACAGAAAAGTGAAAAGTCTCAACCATTGATGAAAAATGAAAGGCTGGTATCACAAGTGAATAATAATAAGTCATGGATTTGTTAAACTTTAACTCTTTAATTTTCTCATCAACAATTGAGATTTCTCACCTTAGTCTTTAAAGTGAATTCTCACTCTAAAGGGGATGAAATACCATTTTTCAATATGGAAAACTTCCAGTCATTCGGATATGGTCAAGGGTGCTTCTAAGTCCATACTTAAGCACAGCCTGGTTACCCTCTCTGAATCCATCTCCATAAGCTGGTGAGCTATCTGACTCAATCTGGTGTTTGAAATACTCACCAAGTTTCTTCTCAAAGTCAGAACGTTTACCCTTCTTTGATGATGAAGAGGATGAAGGTGATGAAGAGGACGAAGATGATGATGACGATGATGATGATGCACCATCATTCCCAGAGCCAGAATAGATCTCTGAATCTAACCACATATGAGCCAAGACTTGGCAAATTCCCTCTTCAACTTCTGGCCTCAAATTGCCATAGCCTGCCATAACCCCAAAAATTGTCCAACTTAACACAATGAAACGAGAATATAAATTTTCCACATGTTGCTGATCATTGGAAAGTTGTTACTTGTTAGTACCTTTAAGCCTAAGCCATGCATGCATCATTTCATGAGCCAGGATTGATCCAGTCAATAACCTGTGAATATAAAATCCTTAATATACAGTGAATTACATATGCAAGCACTTCAGATTATGAAAATAGAGGAAATCAAAAGGATACCTAGGAAGGCCATACAAAACAAGTATGGCTGTCACTTCACAACGACGGATCAGCCTAAAAGGCTCAGTTATCATGTCTATGAGCTGGTAACCTGCCCCTATCCTTGGTCTCCTTAAAATCTGGAATTACAAGAAACCAATAAATTTGACAGCTTGATCAACAGAGATGTTTTATGTGACCTGTTTGGATAAATTTCTCCAAAAGCATTTGAAATAAACTTTTTCATAAATTAAAACTAGTTTATACGTAAGTTGAAAATAAGATTTTGGAGAAGTTAATAAGAGAGAACTTCTACAAATTAGCTTATGCATAAATTAAGTTTAGCTTATGGGAAGGTTTATTTCATTTTTCTTCATATTTTTCTCTCCCAAAAGTGCTTTTGGAGAAGTTTACCTAAATAGAATCGTGAATTAAAATCATCAATGAAGACTGAAATTCACAAGAGATCCATACAGTGGGGATAGTTTGCTCTTCAGACAAGCATAGTCCTCTAGTTTCAGGTAAGTGGTGATGACCCTATATTCGATATTAAAGAGAAAAAGAACAAAGCAAAATCAGGATAATGGAACGGGAATGATATAAAGGACAGGAGAGAAACAAAAGGCACATTTCATGAATGAAAGTTCAAAAATATTAACATTTACATTCTTTTCTCCCTCCATGGCCTCATTCAGCGCCTGTCTCTCAACCAAAAGCATAGGAACTTGCTGCTCTATCTTCATATGTAAGCCTTCATAAAATTCTTGTATTTCGACATAGAGGGGTTGGCATTCATGAGTATCCATGATAGCTGAGTCAAGACACTCCAGACACAGCTTTCGACCATCATCAAGCAACAAATATTTGGCATCCACTGACTGCACTGATTGGAAAGTTTCATATAAAAAGGAGAAAGACAAAAAAACTAAGAGTGAGATATAGGATACACCAGAATCTCCATGTAGGTAACAAGAAATTATGAAAATGTCTTGGGAGCTGATATAACTGACCTCCATTCTTTGACAGCTACAACAACGAGGAGTGCCATCACGCTCATGCGATGGACAATATTTTTGTAGCCAGAAAGGATGTGCTCTATACTCAATGAGGCCAGCTGAATTTGGTGGGATCTGCAATGAACACAAATTGATCATTCAGAGCAGTTTTGAACAATATGTGTAAGATAACTTAGAGTAGCTGATTGACTAATTCTTGCAAATCATAAGCCAATTTTTAAACATAAGAAATCTTAAAAAACTATATTTGGCACATGAAGGGATATAATCCAATTACTAAAACTTAAGTAGTAATAAAATATTCAAACTTATATTTGACCCATCAAGGCCACGCATGGCATGATATACATCAGAAGAACATTTCTGAACTTTCAAAAAGTATTTTTGAAAACAGCTCCACATCACTTGTCTTCCTTGAACATATATGTTTTAGTGAAATTTGTAAAGCACGTCAAAATTTATTGGAACCATTGATCAGAAGTCAAGTGCAATGAATTGACTAAAAATGTGCAAGTAAAAACTGATTGCTAATACTTACAAAGTTCTTGCAAACATCGCATCTCGGATGATGCAACTCCTTATAGCATGATTTATGATAACGGCGATTTCCAGACATGGAAAACTGTAAAGTAATAAGGATTTAAGCATTATGTACAATCATACTGACCTCAAATAATTAAGGAAAAGAAAGTTGAAGATTTTCATTTACGAATTCCAGTTTAAACGTGTTAAATTTGAGTTTAATGAAGCATGTAGCAATTAACACAAGACTCTAACCTCATAATCAGTGATTGGAAGTTTGCAAGCATGGCAACAAAAACATTCTGGATGCCAGAAACCTCCCATGCAACTCAAAAATCTTCCATTGCCAATCTCGGCATTGCAGCCAGCACAGATTCTGCAAGCACATTTTGCAAGAACCAGATTTAGCCTCTGTTTTTATAAGATTCAAGAATTTATGAAAAGGAAACTTTATAGATGTCTGTCTCCTATCTTGATCCATGCTTTTGTCATAAAGGTGAATATTTCAATTTTCTTAGAGTAAGCGCATAAAAACTCCCAAGATGGCAAGATATTTATCATATTAACAAGATACTAGTTGACCCCATTGTCAAATGTTTTAAAGGGCTTCCTTTGCATCATTTTTATTTAATAGAAATGAAGACAAAAGTCATCAATCTTTAGTCTACATATCTACATTTCTGATATTAACTTAGCATAATTCAGAAATTATTCATATTGAAGTTTTGAAACATTATCTGTTTGGACAGACTTCTATTCGTGCTAGTATTCCATTAAAGCAATTTTACTCACAAGGACAATAATTTTTCCCCCTTTATTTATCACAATTAGTGAAGTTTAGCGATTTTCATATATGGTATTCAAAATTGGACTCATTAACTACAGATAAAGATGACATATTTCCCTCAGGTACCTGTATACAGGTGGGAATAAGTGCGCAAAAGGTTGAAATAAGGAATCAGTGTCAGATCGAGGAGGAGAACTAATGGTCAAACTTTCTTGAATTGCCCTGGCAAGTTGTTCATCTTCCTCAAGTTGAACTTCATCAAGATGTTTGTCTTCATCCTGTTGAATTTTAGCATGATGGTCATCTTCATCTTCCTGAACTTCACCAACACATTCATCTTCCTCATCATCAAGTGGACACAGTTCATCATCTTCAGATTCAGAATCATCCTCTGGGGTATTATGAGGCAAAAACACGAGGCCTTTTTAAATACTATAGCAGGGAAAAATCGAGAATCCATTTCCAATCACATACCAAATGGAATTTCAGAATTTACTTAATGAACTCTAACCATATGAAAAATATGTTTAGTAGTTAGATTTTCAACTAATGCAAAGCACCAGAATAAGAAATCCTGATAATTCTGGTGAACAGTTTAAGATTACGATTTATTTGAAAGACTTGATCAATGACACCGTAGTCTTCGATAAGTAAAGCATTCTTTTATTAAACAAGAATGAAAAAGGCAACAAGATAGACATAAAAAGAAAGGCAATAATGTGTATAAGAACTCAATAAATCAATATGCATTTTTCTTAGATTACACATTTTAGATGTCAGTTGTCACACGCTGAAATCCTGATTGTACCAAAAAGTAACATAAAGCAACAAATGAACTTTAACCACCCATCAGCAAAAGCATAACTCTCACCAATAACTTTTTTCCCTTTCGGATCTGCCTCTGAAAGAGAGAGTGCTATTGCGCGATCAATTTCTTCTTTCTCAATATCCGTCAAATCATCCTGCACTCAGTTTACCAGTATTACAATTCATAACTTCAGACCATTACCAAGTTCGAAAGGAACTAGTACTATGTTGGGTTCATGCGACAACTATAATGCAAGAAAATGACATTATAAGTTGTACCAAAATAGTCACTTTTTCTTTCTATAAGAAGAAAGTGTGGTTACCGCTGAATTATCATGATTGTCGGAAATTCTGCCATCGCCATATTTCCCATGATACTTTCCTCCAGAATATTTACGATTGGATCCCTTAAGCAATTTAGTAAACCAACCCATGCAATATTATTTGCTGCAGGTTGGCAAAACCTCTTCCTGAAATAAAGCCCCACAAGTAGGTAAGCAAATATAACATTACAATTATTTACACAAGGAAATTCCAGATTAATTAAACATGTCGAGAAACTACAAGTAAGACCTCAAGGTCAATCCTCATATGTAGCATGATCATCTCTCTTATAAAAGTTTGAAGCACAGTACTCTTATATATGTACCAGAAAAACATGCTATGATCCTGAAAGTGTTGCAACCCAGTGCTATTTGAGGTATAACTTATTAGCATTGGCAAGGCAAGAAATAGGCAACATCAAGAGCAGATAGATCATGGAATATAAAGATCATATCACCTATTATTGCGGGAATCACGGGCTACCCAATTTCTCAGTTCCTCAACAGTCAGATACACCAGGGAAAATGAAAAGGAGAAGGGTAGAGGATGATATATATGAAAGATTAAATAAAGAGAAAGAATATGCACGATTGATAAGGTATAACTTTTGAAAAAGCTTGCTATGTGTCTAATTCATAAGGAAGAACTTCCATGATGTGCTTCTGAACACAATTTCAATTTGCAAACGCACAGCAGCATATTTGTATCAACATATAGTGCTAAGTTTCATTCATTATCAGAGTCAATCAACCAATTCTTCAAGTAAGGAAAAAAGACAAACATCGAATTTCCAATCAAACATACTAGTAAGCTCAAAAATCTTCAGCTCCGCAGCACCCAATATGCTTTCTTTTTTGTCTTTTTTCCCTTAAAGCAACGCCCTTTGTGGCTTGATAACTAATGGACTCAAATTGAATTGCTTCAAGAGAAATTCAAATTATTCCACATGCATAAAAGAAACACCTTCCACCAACCCCACCATCTATGTTGTTGATTATAGATTGAAAACACCGCAAGCATAAAGCCACCGGAAGATAATATCAATATTCTAGAGCAGAAAGGGAAAAGGAGGGAAAAAAAAGAGAGACTTTATATGTCACAAGACAAAGAAGATGACTCACCTGATACTGAAAGAGATTATGAATCAGCAGAGACAAAGGAATCAGATGAACCCCAGTTCAAGTACACTTTCTGATTCCCTATATAAACATAGTCCATCACACAGTAATAACTCTCTCTCTCTCTGTCTTTCTATTTTTTTCTCTTTGTTAATGTGTGTGTGATCCTGGGAATAACTTTTTGAGTGCAAAGAGTGAAAAGGGGGGTACTTGGATCATACGCAAATACAGGAAGGCGAAAAGGGATAAAAACGGCAATAGTGAGGAAGTGATGAATGAGTATATTTTTATTTACATTCCTTAAAAAACACCAGAAAAGACGGATTGGAAGGTAGATATGGAGAATCAGAAGAAGCAGTTGAGTTTCAATTCAATGTCACTGTTTACTCTGGCATGTGGGGTCCTCGATCATTTTTTTCTGCCACATTCCACCAAATGTCAATAGCAACATGAAGTATATAAAACTTTTCGGTAGCTTCTTTCACATGGTAGAGCGGGAGTGGGAGGGTGAAAGATTGAGTTTTTGTTTTATATTGTTTTGTGCTCACCCGTAGCAGTTGCTGCCAATTTGGGTGTTCATGCTTCGTGTTAGATCAATTGTAGATTCATTCTTATTCCAAAAATATTTAACAAGGTGATTTTTTTAAGAGAATTTAATTAAAGAAAAAATTTAATTACAATTTCTTAGCTTATTAATATAAAAATATGTTAATAAGATATGTATTATATATAACTGCATATGAAGATAAATTTTTCATGAACAACATCCATCATATCTAAAAAATTATATTTAAATTTTGTCATTTAATTAAATAGGATGACAAGATTTTAATACATGCCGCATTCATCTTTATAATGATTAATTTGATACAAAGGAATTATACGTTTAATGAATCACATCAATACATTTTCATGACATTTAAATTTTAATGTACCCGTAACTTTATGATATAATATAAGTAATGAAGAATAGAAATAAATTAATGTATAATTAAGATAAAATTATTTCTTTGATCCCTTATTTTATTTTTTATTTTTATTTTATCTTTTATTTTTATTTTTATTTTATACTAAATTAGTCTCTAACGTATATAAATGTTAACGATATTTGTGAAATCATCCATCTCCATCCAATTCCATTGCTAACATGTTCACATGTCTATTAAATGCCAAGTTGAACTAATTATGTGGCGCAAAATTATTTAATTTGCGACCTTTTCTGATTTTCGAAATTCAATTTGATTTAATATATTTTTTTTATACCAAATCAGTCTCTTTTGTTTACAAATGTGAAATGTCAACAATGTTTGCGAAATCATTAAACTTCGTCCTATTTCTTTGTTAATGTGTTGACGAGTTTGTTAAATGCCTAGTTGGACTAATTAATTAGGTGTGTTTTATTTTTATTATATTTGTTAAAATTATTTCTACACATCAATATAAGTTGACACACAAGTATAGTTAAAGATTCATATCGAACTTTTACTTTCTTCCTAAATGTGAGTTCGAATCTCTTAATGTCACTTTTTTAGTTTGATGGATAATCCTTTTTAGATAAGAGAGATTCTTTGGTCCTGGGAGGTTAATTAAATACTTCAATGGGATCGAACTACTTATAATTTGGATTAAGTGGTATTGAAAGTGTCTTTTGGTTTTACTACCTTTTTCATAAATAAAAAAAATTGTCCCTCCCCCATAAAAAAGCTAACCTATGGTTCTTTCAACGAGTATTTATATATATGTAATCACTTTGCTTGAAACTGAAGTTCTTCCATAAAAAGTTAGGTCAATAAATTCTTGGAATCTAATCTCATGCTTCCCTGAAAGTATCTGGAAGCCCCTAAAAGCATGAACATTGCTTGTCTCAACAGATTAGCTAGTAGTGGTGCATGCAGGAGCCAGGTAACCCCTTTGTTGCTTTACCTTATCTTGCAAAGTCAATGTCATTAGTGAGAAGTTTGTACAAGCCAAAATATAATAAGAATAGGTTGTACCACTTAGCAATGAAAACTTTGTCAGATAAGTCAGCTTATCAGTAGCAAAATTGAATGAGTTTGAATATTTCACAAACATTATTAATGTTTATAATATAAGGGATTGTTTTGTTACAAAATAAAAAATAAGGGACCAATTGAAATATTAAAAATAAGAGAAGAGGCCAAAAATTAGATGGATTTTGCAAACACTATAAACATCTATAAGGGACAGATTTGGTAATAAAAAATAAATAAAGATAAAAACCTAAATTGAAATTAGAAATAAAATAAAGGCAAAAAGGAATAATTTTATCTATATTTTTTTAAGATTAAATTACACTTTTAATGTCTCTATAATATTAAATTTACAATTTTAATTTCTCTATTTTAATTTCATAATTTTAGTCTCATAATTTTATAAAATATACGTTTTTTGTTTCCCTTACCGAATATATTCATCAATTGATTGGAAAAATCACAATGTTAATCATGATATAAATTAAGAACATGACATAACAATCAAAATTTAAAATATTTAGACTAAATTTTATGTCATAAATATAATAAAATAAAGTGAAAGTGAGATAAAAAAAATGATAATTAAAAGTATAATTTAGTTTGAATATAATAAAATATTAATAATTTTGTAATTGCCTTAATAGTGAATTATGATTAATATTACAATTATAACAATTAATAATGGATAAAAATTCAACGAGAGAACCAAAATTTTGATTTTTTTAAATTTGAAAAATTAAAACTACAAATTTAAAAATAGAATGATGAAAATTAAGAATTTTATATTATAAGAAACCAATCATATAAATTAACATAGTTTGAAATAAATAAAATTAATATAATAATGCATAATTATAAAAATAAAAAAATATTTTAAAAAAAAATATCAAAATCTAGATCAATTTAAAGTATAAATTAAGTTAAATCATTAAAATTAGTTTAATAATACTAATTTAGAAGTAGTACACATATATATTCTTAAGTTTAAATTTTTTTATCGTGATTATAATTTTTATAGATAAAAAATAATAATAACTCAGGTTGAAAATACCTCGATTCCGATTTGTACAATTCGAACTCATTAAGTTCGACTTTGAATCCAGTTAATATAACAGGAGTACAAGATGACCATAAAATCTCTTACTTTAGTAGTAAATTGGAAATTGTTCGCACTATCCAGTTAATTTTTTTTCCCCTTACCCTTTTCAAGATGAATAATTACCTTAATATTCCTTAAATTGACAAATAATAAAGAAAATTAGTAGTAAATTAGTTACATCAGACATTGGAAAGTGTTCGCACTATCAAATTATCATAAATAAATTTCAAAAGGGCAACAAAAGAAATAATACTTTATTTGAGTTTTTTTGGGAGCCTAATTAATCTATATTTGAGTTTGGGGTTGACTAACTTAATTTTGTTTATCTAATTTAAAGTTTTAGACAGCTATTGAATTTTCCAATGTGCATATGCCCGATGCATGCAGCTTCCTGTATAAACGAAATTGACATCTAAACTTAAAGTATGAATGCACTTTTATTTAATTTGCTTGTCCCCGCAACAATAATTTATGCAGATACAACCATCTATATCGTGAGGTAACAGATTCCTCATGTTTAATAATGATAACCTTTGGTTAGATATAAAATGCTCTACATCTTATACACAAAATTAATGAGACATCTCGTTGAGAAATTGTTTGATTTATATTTTTATACTAAATATACTTATTAAAACTTGATATATAATTTGTTTTGAGAGGAAAAATACATTTTTAATATCACTCACATGCTATATTTTACATTTTTAAATCACAGGGACAATATTATTATTATATATAGAGAGAGACAGAAAAAGAGAAAGAGATAGTAGTGATAGATCCAAAAAAAAAATTTAATTTGCAGGAACAATAATTATATATGTATGGGAATTATTTATTTTATAAATTAGTTTTTTACTGTATTTTAAATCATGAGGACAATTTATAATAAAAGCATATATATTTTGTTAAGAAAAATTAAAAATTTTGTGAACACACTTACTCCCAAATTTACAAATTTAGATATGTGGATCCGTCCGTACCTGCGTATATATGTCAATTGATTATTTAGCTACTTATAGTAAAAAAATGTGTAACTAAAATTAGGGTTTAATATAAAACAAATAAAAGGGGACATGATTCTCTCCTCCTCTTTACTTGTGTTTCTACGAGGGTCATGTTGTATGATAAGACATACAGGATTTGCGGATTGGGTAAAACTGTAAGAGTACACATAAATTTAGGGCAATGTTTTGTGGACAGCTATGTGCCTATTAACATTTAAAGAGATAAATAAATATGAGAGAAATAATATTTATAATATATGATCATAAGAGAAATAAAAAAATATTAAATCAGTGTTTGTAATAGCTTTTGAATACTAAATTATATTATAATTAAGATTTATAATAAATAAACCCTTTTTAATATTAAATTATATTATAATTAAAATTATAACAAATAAATATTTTTGAATATAAATTATATTTTAGATTTGTAAAAATTATCTATCTTGTAATATAAAGTTAATTTTAATTATTGATAATTTTTTAAATTATTAAAACTCAATTTAAAATTTTATTTTTATATAGAAATGGAGTTGATAAAATATTCCAAAATCCCTTTTGTTATAGAAAAAAAAAACTTTTATTGAAATTAATATAATTTCTAAAATTACTTTCATTCAACTTGAATTTTTCTTTAAATGAAGTTCATGAATTATAAAATATTTGTTGTCAATATACTTTTAAAATTTTTAACAACTCTTAATATAGGAAGTCAATTATTTTTGCCTTAAAAGTCTCAAATTAATTGTAAGAAACTTATTCATAAAACAAAGCATAAAAGTGTGAAAACAAATTAATAAATTAATTGAATTAAGAATCAAGAAAATAAGTTTGATCATGTGAATTTTCAAGATCATATTTTATGTCTCTTAAACTTCTACAAGTTCTTTAAGGGAAGGTTGAGGATATCTTTAATTAATCACCATAAATTATATATCAAATATAAAAGTTCATTTATCTTAAGTATAATTATATGATTATAAATACTATTTATGAGTTATTTATTTATTTGATGTGAGACTTTAATTATGAAAAATAATTAAAAATAAGAGAAATATTTTCTTAATGTGACATTTTTTTCTTGATGTGAAACTTTGACTTTAGGAACAATTAGAAGAATAATATATGAGATAAAAAATGTTATTTATCTGTAGTAACATTTAAAAAAAATGTTACAAAATAACCTATGTAATATTTTTTTATTCGATATGAGATTTTGATTTTAAAAATAATTGAAAAGAATAATATTAAAATAAAAAATATTACTCTATTTATAGTAACATTTAAAAAAATGTAGCAAAACA